CAAATAATTTAAAATATTGGGCCAGATCTTCTCAGGAAATGTGAAAAATAACACCAAGGATATCACTGTTACTGTTATCTTACAATTTTATAGGAATTAAAAGCCTGAAGATACAAACTTATGACTGTTAATACTGCCTCTGGATAGTTTTGACATAGTATATATTAAGGATGGCTTTGTTTAGAAGACTGGCAAAGTGTTCCTGGAACAAACACTGTATCTGACTGCCACAAATCAACAGAATGCAATGGTGCCTGGTGGACATGGTAGAGAAAATGTCAATTTTGAGAAAGGAGTGCTTTTAAAGGCATTTCCTTGGAGGCAGTCAAGGATTTTTTTTTTTTCACATTACTGAAAGACCACCTAACATTGTGACTGCTTTATTTCCTTCAACTAGACTGTCAACGTAGGCATAGGTCAATGTTCCCCAACTATTTTTCTTCTGTCCATTCTGCTGGCTTCAATATTCCATGGTCCACTGTAATCTTTTGGTCTTCCTGCTTTGTGGTCTGGCAGCTGTGCCTGCTATCCGCTGAGCAGTTAGTCTACCAGCTCATAGGTGGCCATCATAATGGCTGTTGGGAATCTGTCTCACCAGATGAGTTGTTAGACCATGGTAGAAAGACCCATAACCTACTTCTTGAACAACCAAAGACAATGTCTGAAAAAAAAAAAGATCTATTTTTTTTTTCCCTCTTCATGTGTTCTTGTTCTTATAACTTCATGCAGATATGCTATTGTAGTGGCACAAGTCTTTATTCCCACAAAAGCTGATGCTTTTTTTCAGACTCTATAATTTTCCATCATAGAAGCAGTCTTATATTCCAGTACTTTATTTGCTTTATACTTTCATAAGTAACAATATGAATAACAGTATCGGATATGTCAGCATAAGAAGCAGACCTGTACCTATGAAATCCTCTAAGTCCATATGCCTGATACACTTCACCAAGCGTATCAGAAGCACCCATTCGCTTTTGCTCACGGTTCCTTGCATCAAGCTGTAACCGAGTCTTTATAAGCCAAATGGGGTTGGGAGCCACTTAACTTCTATTTAATCCTAAGATTTTATCATAGTAATTATTCATTTGAATAAAGCTTTCCTTTTCCTGTCCTTTCTGATCCTAATATTTAATTTTGGCTCTTAGAACAGGCACATTCCAGGAGGAAACTGGAGTAACTGACGTGTAGCATTTACCCTCACTTTATTTGATTCCCTGTTAGGATTCCCCACAATAACGCACACGCACAACTATTAATGTGAAAGCCAGATTTTGTAACCCAGAACTATCCACATTTTTAGAAAGATACCTCCTGGTAAAGATGATGTCTCATTCAAAATACTTTTAGTGTCCCTCAGATCATACCATTTCTCCTTTATACCTACGCAGGTATACCAAAATGACCTGCACCACGAACCATTTCATCCATTGTTTAATCTGAGTTCTATCATCTCCCATGTACTCCCTTCTCTTCTGAACTCAGTGTTGGTCACTAAGATCAGGCGCCGAAGATCTGGTTGCTAAGAGACAAGACGCTGGGAGGGTGGGGACGCTGCACTGCGACAAGTCGGGGCGTGAATGCCAGTGGGGGATAGCGAAGGCGAGGCAAGCTGGGCGGCCGCCTGCCTGCCGCTGCCGCGCGTCCGGCTCCCTCCCGCCCCACAGGAGCTCGCCCCCCATTGGCTCCCCCCG